TCTAGGCTGCGGACTTTGTTCTGACCCAGTAAATGTTTTCTGTAAAAGGCCTGGAAGTAGATATATTAGGCTGTGGGCCATCCGTCTGGGCTGCAAACTGCTCAGCTCGGCCCAGGTAGCGCTAAAGCAGCCAGAGACAATTCATAAATCAGTGAGCGAAGCCACGCTCCAATAAGCCTGTATTTATGGTCACTGAAATTTACATTTTATACAATTTTCACATGTCATGAAATCTTCTCCTTTTGCTTTTTGTCTTCAACTGTTTAAAAATGTAAAACCTATTCTTAGCTAGATGGCAGAGGGCTGCATCTGGCCTGCGGGCTGCGGTTTGCCCATCTCTGCTCTGGAGACATGATTATTTTCTCGACTGAGCACTTTCATGCCTTCGTGCCTTCACTCTACCTGTAATGATCTTTCTATTGTCTGTCTGGCATCATTTTGAGACCCATGTTGAAGTCATTGCCACTTTTTTGTGGGATTTTGTGTGTGTGTGTGTATGGCTTTTCTTAAGTGCTTCCTGCAAAACTAATTACTCCTTTATCTCTGGTCCTAGGCCTTTAAGGGGCCTCAATTATAGCTCTTCTCATGCTGCACAGAAGTTATAGACGGGCGTCTGCTCTTCTCTTCACTTAACCTGCTCTGCTGGAGAGCAGACATTGGTCTGCCTGTGTTCATCATCTTTCTATGCTGTCACGTGGTAGGGTCACATAGCAAATGCTTGTTAAATTACATACCACTGCCCACCTTCCAACAGGCAGCTGGAGGCAGCGCCAGGCTGGAACTCAGGTCCTCTGATACCCTGTGGCATTACAACTGTTTATGGCCACGAACAACCCTAAATTCTGATTGGGCGAGATAGGAATGGAATGTGCTATGTTGTAGGTTATTGGTGAATTTATTTTTTGTTTCTCTGGGATACTATACGCATCAATACAATGAGGAGTTGGAAATTAGGAGCTCAGAGATGCCATACATCACTGAGACTCAAATGCCATAACACTGAGCAAAGGTGAAACAGATCCTGCGCTATGATTTCCCAGGTCCACTTTTCAAATGTCTCTGTCCTGTTCTGGTTCCCCGAGGCTGACCTCTGTGGACTGTCAGAGAACAGGGAGCCCACTGGTAAAGCAGGTTAGACTCCCAGGGCACAGATCAGGCCAGAGCAGGGCACGTGGGCCCTTGCTCCTGGCCTCTGGTTGGGTTGGCAGGTGGGAGGCACAACTGATATGAGGGAGGGAGGAGGGAGAGAGCTGGATACTGATTCCTGGGGCTCCCTCCTCCTGCAATGGTTACTGATTCCAGGGGATCCCTCCTGCACTCACTACTCCCTCGCTGGACCCTTTCCCTAGCCTGGTAAAGGGGTGTGTTGTTTAGTCCCTAGGGGCCTCATCTCCCCACGGATTCCTTCAATCCCACCCTGACCTCTGTAACTGGCCCCCCTTCACTAAACCCTCGGTTTAAGCTGTGCAGTGTGCCTTCAGTCTCCTGCTAGACCCCTGGCTGAGACCTGTCTTTGCCGCTCTTTTGGACTGAATTTGCAAGCAGGAACTCTAGATCGGTCTTTGGTAGTTCCCAAGTATTATTCCTTTAGAGCAGTGGTTCTCAATCAGAGGTAACTTTGCACACAGGAGACATTTGGCAATGTCTGCAGACGTTTTGGTTGTCACAACTGTGTGTGTGTATGTGTGTGTGGAGGGGGTGCCACTGGCATCTGGCATCTAGTGGGTAGAGGCCAGGGAGAATGGAAACACACTACAATGCACAGACAGTTCCCCACAACAGAATTATCCAGGCCACAATGTCAGTAGTGCTGAGGTTGAGCAGCCCTGCGTGACGGAATCACTGATTGAATTACTATATGATTAGTGTATACCCTTTCACTGTGTACATCCAGCCTTGAAAAAGAAGATTCCAGGGAGAATCATTTATTCCCACCATCAGCACACGGCTCTGTAGAGAAGCATGCCGGAGCCAGGTGAACACGGCCAGCCGGGTCCCAGTCACCGCTCTGACACACCCGGGACGAGACCTCGAGCCAGCCACGCACCCTCTCTGTCACTCTCATCCCTCACCTATTCAATGGGGCTGATGGCAGCGCCTACTTCACATAGCTGCTGTTAGGATCGAATGAAGCAATAAATGCCAAGTGCCTGCAACCGAGGAGGAAAGCCCTTTATAAACACTGACACACTCAAATGTGCAAACCTGTGCTGGGCCGCGGCGAGGGAGACAGGGGATAAGACGGGGCCAACTTCTAAGAGGCTCATGAGTGAAATAGTTTTCCAGACTGCGAGTTGTTCTCTGCTACAGACTTGTGAAATTCTTTTAGAGGTTGCAACTAACATTAAGAACTGGAGAAGACATTTCCAGGGTGCCTCACGTTGAGTCAGGGTAAATACCACTTAGTGACATTTTCCTTTTGGCTCTACAGATATGTGTGTATACTGGGTTGTGATGGAAAGTGTATTTTTTTTACAGTGGAGTGAGATTAATAAAACAAAGTTTAAAAGCACCAGTCAAACAGGAAAGGTAAGACACCCAAAGCACCATAAGAGGGGCCCTGTGGTTTTGCAGGAAACTCACGTAGGCCTGCAAAATCAAGCTTCGCCACTTGGAGGCTGTGACCTGTGTGTGTTGGGCTAGTTACACAACCTCTCTGAGCTTCAGCTTCCTCTGCTGAAAAGTGGGAATTAAAAACACACCTGACCCGGCCGGGCGTGGCTCAGTGGTTGAGCGTTGACCTGGGATCCAGGCAATAGGGGTTAGATTCCTGGTCAGGGCACATGCCCGGGTTGCGGGCTTGATCAATGACTCTCTCATCATTGATGTTTCTCTCTCTCCCTCTCCTTTCCTCTCTCAGAAATCAATAAAGATATATTTAAAAAAAACAACGAAAAACCAAAAAACCAAAAAAACACACATCTGCCACTGTGTCGTGGGGAAGCTCAACAGGGGTGATGCGCACACAGTGGATGTGCAATCCGTGTGTGATCCCAACCCCTAGAGCCTTCCTGGCCTGGGTTCTTACTGCCTATTGTCTGCATCAAACCCTAAGCGATGACCAAGACAAATGGGCCCTGAGTAAATTGAAATATGAGAAACACCCGGCACCTGTTTAATCAGATGAAATGACAACATTCGTCTCTGCTTTTCTATTTTGGATACACATGGAAGAGTCTAGACAGGCGCCTCACCCCCACAGGGGCCCAGCCTCAGTGGGAATGTCTCCAGGAAGGCTCTCGAAGCCAGGCTTTGTGGAACTCCGCAGACTAGGGGGGTTTCTTGTTTATTTTATAAATGTTTCAAAGGTGTACTGCTACCCAAGGCTGAGGAAATGAGGCCACTCACAAAAGGCTCAGCTTTTCGTGGTGATGCTTCTGCCTCCAGTGCTGCTTTTATCTGTTTCCAGCCAGAAAGCCTGGCCGGGGGCGTCGTGGAGGGGCCTCTGCGCTGCCAGAGTCACATCTGGGGTAGGAAGGGTGCTGCACTGTTGTGGCCTGAGCCTCTGAGCCTCTGAGGTGGGGCTGAAGTGGGGCTGGGAGGGACAAGGTACCAAGATCTCCACTAGGAATTAGTGGCTCCCCGCTCAGCACACCCCCAGCAGGGGGCAGTGATTACAGTTCACTTGCACTCTTCTGTCAGGCCCAAGGTGTGGTCATTGCGTGTGTGCTGGTTTATCTTGCTCACTCCCTCAGTTCCTAGTCCTCAGGCCCTCATCACTCAGTCGCTCACTCACTCAGTCCCTCAGTCCCTTGTCACTCAGACCTCAGTCCCTCAGTCACTCACTCGCAGGGTAAGCCTACTCCTCTTTTTGTTCCCCAGAGCCTCCTACAGGACCTGATACTTAATGGGTACGCAATCCAAGTTCATTATTGAATCAATTAGAACCAACATCAATTTGTAATTGGTAACAGTTAAAGACTTAATGAGCAGGTTATGAAGCAAACCACTGGTGTTTAGCTCTGTAAATTGTGTGTACTTCGAATACACTTGAGGTAGAAAAGCAATGTTGTCCCATCCATCCCTTGCAGTTTGCATCCCCTCGGGTGGTGGAGAGCTCCAACCCATTCCTTTCTATCAGTAGTTCTTGGGGTTAGGAAAGTCTTCATGACTGGAGCAGAACTGTGCTCACTTGCAATTTCCACCTGCCATTCCTGGTCTGTTCTCTTGACCTCTTGCCACTGGACAGCTCTTCTCAGATTTGAGCCTCTAAAACACAGTGCTCCCTGAACTATTTTGCCTATGTTTGTAATACACTGTGTTCTGCAGTAAATGAAAGAGAGTTGAAATGTGGCTGTTCTCCCATTTACACTGGGACAGGCTAACCTCTAGTGGTTAAGAGGATGAACTCTAGATTTAAAAGGCAGTTCCGGTGGCCTTGGGAAACTGGCTTAATTTCTCTGTGCCTCAGTTTCCTTGTCCATAAAATGGGAATAATGACAGTATTTACCTCTCAGGGTGATGACCAGGATTAAATGTGATGATGCTTTTCAAGTGTCTAGTACATTAACTGTTATGATTAGCCTGGCCGCAGGGGGGCAGCTTGGCCTACACAATTCGAGAAGTGTCACTTCCTTTGGCAATGGACCACAATGGCAGGTGTAGCGATGCAGATATGCAGATCTCTGGGTCTGTACATAAGAACAGGACCTCAGCCCTGGCTGGTGTGGCTCAGTTGGTTGGAATGTGGTCCTGTACACCAAAAAGCTACGGGTTCGATTCTCAGTCAGGGCACATACCTAGGTTGCAGGTTTGATTCCTGGTAGGGGCGCGTACAGAAGGCAACTGATCGATGTTTCTCTCTCACATTGATGTTTCTCTCTCTCTCTCCCTTACCCAATAAGCATATCCTCAGGTGAGGATTAAAGAATAAAAAAGAACAGGATCTCAGAGGCGAGTGTACCCTGAAGCCACACCAGACCCAGTGTGGAACAGGATGAGCTCCCCCAGGTGCCCCTCTGCCACCCACTGAGTAAGCATGGCAGCCCTGGCCTGCCTACCTTGGTACTGGGCGCTGAAGCCGCGCTGCCGGTGGTTGCCATCTGAGGTGAAGTGCAGCCGCAGCCAGTTCTTGCTGCTGATGACAGGGGCTGGGAGGCTGGCTCCGGTGAACCTGTGGGACAGGAAGGTGGTAGGGTCAGAGGAACACAGATGGTTGGGATAGGGGAGTGGGTATCCAGGAGTCTCCCCACTTCCCATGCATGCTAGGGCCTCCGCTCAAGCCTGGAGCAAGGAGGGAAGGCTGTGCTGGCCCAGTGTCCTCCAGTAGCCTGGGGCCTGAGCTGCTTGAAGTAGCTCCTCAAGTGGCTGGCCCTTTCCACCACTGGGTGTCCCTGAGATGTCTCCAGGAGGGGGTGGGTCCTTCAGGTCTAGAGCAAAGATCCAGCTTCCCAAGCAGAGGTCTCCCCACCCCCAGGAGAGAGGTCCAGCCCTCCTAGCACAGTGCCCCCAGCAGATGTCCTCATCACCCCCAGGAGAGACCCAGACCCCCTAATGCAGGGTCAGCCCCCCTGGAGATGACCAACGTCGGGCTCTCCAGCAGAAGCTAGGGCCCCATCCCCAGGTGGAGAGGTTTGGCTACCCCTGGGAAGCCCCCTGGAACCTCCGAGGAGTCAGGACAAAGGGCTTGGGCAACACTAAAGGGAGTGTGGCCCTTCGCAGGTGTGAGAATCCATTTTGGGGTCACTCACTGAGCCCTGGGTCTCTTCTGGGTCCTCTCCCTGGCCCTGCTGGCTTGCCCCCTCCTCCCTTAGGTTAGCCTCCTCAGGGTCCCAGCCAGATCAGCTCAGTGGGTGGGACACCAGGTCTCCAATTGTCATTGCCCACTGCCCCAGCCTCTTGACCAACTGCCGTCCTGAGCCAACTTCCAGCTCAATCAGATCTTTCCTCCTAGAGTTATTTCCGTGACTCCCCAGCGTCTACACAAGACTGGCCTTGCAAACCTTCCACCCGGCCCTCTCCTTGAATGGCCTCTGCTCAGCGCTGGCCTCTCCACCACACTCGGCCTGAGCCCTGACACCCCTCCTAGCTCTGCTGATGCCCCTGCTCCCCGGAAACCCCCTCCATCTTCTCTCCTCTACCTACAGCCTCCTAGCTGGCCAGATGCTCAGTCTTCCCCTCTATTCAGGCACAAGCCCTCGGATGCTTCCCCTCAGCACCTTCACTCTGCTCCAGTCTGCTCCCACTGCCAGGACTCTCCTTCCATCTCCTAGGTATTCCATGCGTCTCCTGTTCTGTGTCTCTGCCTTTTCTGCCTGGGACATACCCGCACCCCTGCACCACACAGGCCACCGAGAGGACTTCGGGAAGCTCTCAGATGCCCCATCCCCAGGGCAGCCTTTCCTTCTCTCCTTGGCTTTGAAGCCACAGAGATTTTGGTTCAAATCCAGGTTTCACCGCTGCCACTGTGACCTGAGAGCAGTTACTTAACCTTTCTGAGCATGAGAATAACACCAGCCTCCGAAGAGTTCGTGGGAGTAAGTGAGACACCTTCTGGGTAAAAAACCTAGCCCAGTACCTGGCATGTATTAGCTCAATCAATATAATTTTCCTTGCCCCTCCTCTGTGATGCCACCGTATTTTATTCAAATTATAATCCATTTTAGGTGCGTGTCTCCCTCTGCTAACTCCTCGACTATGGCTGTGTGGCCTGGTGGTAAAGAGCTTGGGCTCTAGAGGGGCCAGCTGTGTGATCTTACAAAAATTACTTACGCTCTCTGTGATGTTCTTGATAAAATAATAACCCCACCCTCAAAGGGGTGCAAGGATTAAATGCAATAATGCACAGAAAGACCTTAGCATGGTCCCCGGCAAATAGAGAGCTCTTGGTAAGTGGCAGTTGCTATTTTCTTCTGCATTTTTACTCTTCATCTTTGTACCAAGTAACTAACAGAATGCTCGGCACAAAGCAGGTGTGTCAGGATTCCAGTAGGAAACAGCTGGCAAGGTCATATGAGAAAAATCCCAGGAGTTTAATGGATTCTTTACAAAGGGAAACCACTTTCCACAGAGCAGATGGTTATCCCTGAAGGAGACAGCTGCATGGACCCAGATCTTCAGTCAGGACTACAGCCAGTTTGTGCAAATTGCGCCAGGAGGGGGCAAAGAATGAATACCTGGAACTCCCTCTCCTCCCTCCCCTCCTCCAATCTCCTGCTGATGCTTCTGTTGATCTTGCCCAATTGGGAGCCAGAAAGCAAGGGAGCATACTGATGCAGCCCCATAAGTAAGTCTTCCTAGGCATGGAACAGGATGCATAAGGGAGGGGAGAGGATCTGGAGGAGCAAAGAGAAGAGCATGGTAGGTCTCCATTAATAGGTACTAAACAAAAAAACTAACCAACGAGCTTCGCACCCTGCAACACTGAGATTTTACTATAATGAAAATGCTGACACACACTAAACTCCAGGAATATAACCCATATTGTTATGGTAAGAGCTATTATAGAAACCAATTACAGTATTTCACCAGATTCCATTTAAAGTAGTTTATTACAGGCCGAGTCATTTAAGTTTTCTAAGGAGCCACAAACAGTATTGTGGGTTGTGTTTTTTACCCCAGGCCAAATTCAATTCTATCTCAATGACAAAGCTCAGAGGCTATTTACATAAAGGAAGTAAAAAGAGGGAGAAATTACCTGAATAATTCAGAACCAAAAGCTGTTTATTGCAAAATGGAATGAAGGGAGGGTGATGGGGTCCCAAGAGCAAGAAGGGAGCAATGATCAAGAATGTAAGCAGAAGTTGGCCCTGGGATCTGCTTGAACTGCATAGCCTGGCAAAGCCCCAGGGGTCATCCCCCCCCATTTCTCCCACACTTTCACCTGCTGCCAGGAAACCTGTTCATTGTTAATTCCCAAGGCTCAGCCTCGCAGAGTCCTGAGCTGCTCATGCATCTTTACTCTGTTCTGCTCCTGCCTCCTTGGACTTAAATGTTGCACATTTGAGAGTTTTCTTGGCATCTATCAAAGAACTGGGGGCCCCCTGGCCAATGTGGCTCAGTGGTTAGAGTGTCGGCCCATGCACCGAAGGGTCTCAGGTTCGATTCCCAGTCAAGGGCAAGTACCTGAGTTGCAGGTTCGTTACCCGGCCCCGGCTGGGGCGCTTGTGGGAGGCTACCAATCGATGTGTCTCTCTCACATTGATCTCTCTCTCCCCTCCTCCCCTTCCCTCTCTCCCTCCCACTCTCTCTAAAAGTCAACGGAAAAAATACCCTCGAGTGAGGATTAACAACAACAAAACAACAACAACAACAACAACAAAAAGAACCAGGGCTTCCACGTTGGAATCATCACAACAAACTCTGCTGTGGGGATGGTATCATGCCTCACTCAGAACCCTGCAGTAAAAAGTACTGACACATGAAAAAACAGGGGTGACCCTCAAGAGCATTAGGCCGAGTGATAAAAGAGCATATTCTGTACAATTCCATTTATATCCAACTCTGGAAAGGACTGACCTACAGTGAGAGAGAGCAGACTGTGGTGGCCAGAGCCGGGGGTGAGGCACAGGTGGGGACTGCCGGGGAATGGGTACAGGGAATCTTCTGGGCGATGGAAATGTTCTGCATCTTGAATGAGGCGGTGGTTACAGGGGATGGACAAATTCCAACATGGTTGTAGAGTAAGCCATACTCACTTCCACCCGGCGCCAGACCAGATTTACAGCTAAATTACCGAGCAGTCAACCTGAATAACCAACTGAAGGCTGGCTGAACTGAAGCATTATAACCATGATTTACAGAAGCCGCACAGAGAATGGGAAGAGGGCGGAGACGCGCAAAGGGCTGCCCCCCATGTGCGTCAAAACTTCCTCCCACCAGGAGCGTGGGGGCTCGACGCCATGAGGGGATCCCCAACCCAGAGCAACAGAGACGGGAAGAGAAGCCCACATAGCATCTGGTCGTGAAAATCAGTGGGGCTTCAGTCTGCTGGGAGAGAAGAGTCTGCTAGAGGCCCAGCCGCCGCCTCCCCGGAGTCAAGCACTCCTACTGCTACAGCACCCGCCCGGGGAGTGCACCGCCGGTCCTCCAACTACTAGCTACACCACTCTGCTGTGCTTGAGTCCTGCAGAGGGGTCTGCTAGCTGCACCCAGCAGGGACCTTTGGGGAGCTCTTTTTCTGGAGGAGCTCTTGGCGGAGACTCAGTAAGTACTTGCCCCCCTTCTGCGAACACGGCCAGCCTGGGCCCACTCTACAGTGTTTCTTCGGAAGGCTCTGGAGGAAGACCAGGTAACCTCGGAGGGAGGTGGAATAGCCTTAGACCTTTTATAGATCTGCCCCCAGCTCCAAACTGGAGGAAACTGACCCTTGTACACAGCTTGGCCCCTCCCATGCACACACAGGCCCAGTAGATGCAGCCACAAACAGTGAATAGCCTGGAAGTTCCAGGGAGGTAGCCCAAGGCTGGTTACACACAATGTCTGACATCGACGTGTACCAGAACCCTGTCCAAGTGGACCCAGAAACAACACAACCCGTGGTGGGCTTCAGAGTACACCAGAGCTTGACCCAACTAGCCACACAAGTGGCACACCCAAAGGGGGATCTTGGCAGGCACCAGACCCTCCTGGGAGCAACTCTGCCTGCATAACAACTCATACACGGTGATCCAGGTTTATCTTTATATTCCCCAGCCTGAGGGTTAACTCCACCCACGAAAGGGCCAACAGCATTGAAGAATCAACTACAACGGGAAGGCGCACATAACCCACAGGAAGCACTCCTGGAGCACCGGGCTCAGGTGACCTGGGGGACTGCGCTACTGAGCTCAACAAGACGCCCTCATCATAAAGTCATCACAAGTTGGGGAGGCAGAGCAGATCTACCTAGTGCACAGAGACAGAGTGGGGAGACAAAGAAATATGCCTCAAAGGGAAGAACAAGAGAAATTCCCCCCAAAAAGAATGAAATGAAATGGAAGCAACCAAGACACCAGATGCAGAGTTTAAAAAAATGGTTATGAGGATGCTCAAGGACCTCAGGGGAAGAATGGATGATCTCAGAACTAAACAAAGAGATAGCAAGTATTAAAAAGGACACAGGAACTGTAAAAAGAACCAGTCAGAAATGAAGACTACACGAGAGAGACGGAGTCAACAGCAGGTTAGATGAAG